TTCTTTATATCATGTTATAACAAAGAATGGGCATTCCTGCACCATTCCAATGTTCGCAATCACAATGTTCGAGTGAAGCGGGTCGACAAAATACTTCATGATATTATTCGCATACTTCTTTTCAAAATTTGCGCACTTCTTTCCACAAAAAGAAACATTTTTCAAATGTACACAATAAAATATTCATCACAAGGCCTGCGCCACGAATTTGAAAGTGGGGGGCCAAGGCTAAAAAAGTAAGGGGCCAAGGCTTCTTACCCCTTTCACTGTAGCTTTGAAACTACGTGCTTCGCAAAAAAGGGGGGCCATGGCCACCCCGGCCCCCCAGAGGTGCGGGCCCTGCATAACCGTTTTAAAGGGAAACATAGACGACATAAGATTGTATATGCCGTGTCAAAAAGTACTCACTATGTTGAAGCGCTTGAGAATAACGAGAAAATTTTGTCCAATTCAACATTTGAAACAGTGGGGACACATTCTTTTTAAAAGAGGCAGGCATATGATTTTTGGAATATTGAGAACCATGCCTCTAGCTTCTGCGATTGAATTTTGGGGAAATTGTCTCGTTATATTTGTCTTGTTAAGTCGATACCTTATGCAATTACATTTAAAAAAGCGTTATCTAGACCTAGTGAATATTACACTCTTTTTCCTAAGAAAATTTATTCATAAGAATATTCAGGCTTTGAATCATCCAATTTTTAAGAATATTTGAAGAAATGCTCAGCCCATAGTGACAGGAATTCTTATCTGTATGGCACAGACTCAGCTCGCATGTTTGTGTCTCACTTTTCAGAAGTTGCTGTTTTGCTATGTTTATAACAGATAATCGCATGCCAGAAATATCTCGTTTTTAAAAAAAACGTGATTTTTTTTCGAGGGCGATGTTACTCTGAAAACATATCAGATTTGAAAAATACTTAAAAAATATGTCCAGGCTATAAACAAAAATTTCTTTAAGGCAGTATGTCCCCCATTCTTTAAAAATCACTTTTCATGGCCACGACATTCATGCTTTGTTGATTTGATGCATATATAACCAATCAGAATGAAGAACCACAGTAGCGTTATTTTCCTGAGCGAGTTGCTGTGAATTTTGTTTTGGTGTCAAACTTCGTCAGTTTCGATGATACAAAGATTATGCATTTCTTTGTCTTGTCGTGTTCACCCACAATAACTAATTTCGGATACTAAAACGGCAGAGTACGACCCTCTTTTGAGGCGAGGCTTTCAAATTATGATTAGCCAATTTTTATATAGTTTTTGTAAATTATTTGCTAGACAGAAAGATGAAGTGAAGCAAGGAAAAAGGTATATGATTTCAATATTATTTTCTCATCATCATCACCTGCTAATTTGTTTTTCTCCATGGAGCAAAGCGAGGATACCCAAAATGTTTTTCAGGAAAATGGAATCACCAGGATTCGGGAATTGAAGTTCAAGAATCGGGACTCGGGCTAAAAACGTAGCGGGAATTCGGGAATTCGGGAATCAAGGGGGTCTATTGAGTACCCTCTAAAAACAGTTCACAAGCCAAAAATTACTACAGGATCTCAATAGAGGAGAACAGGATTCCGGACATTTTTGGTATGAAAATAGAACTTGGGGATTTCTGATGTGAAGTTTGAAAAGACTTTGAATAGTGATTTGATTGTTGTGTTGGTTTCTGGTAATAAAATACATCGGATACAGAATATATAAAGTTTTTTATCGGTTTTGTCGTTACGTTTGTTTTTAGATATACTTAAATATGCAAAGAGTTACGTGATTCGTTAAAGATCCTACACAGCTCCATTTCGCTACTTGTTAGGCCATTTAGCTCCGTTCCGCTACTTGTTAGGCCATTTAGACCCCGGCGCAAAAAAACAACTGTAGTTACCAAACTATCGATAACCGAGCAGCAAAATCATTTGTAGATCAATTCTATCAGACTTTGGATGTATAACCAAACGTCTATGAATTAATTTTCTTGCTTTACCATAAATACCTTTCTATTATCTGTTATATTTTTGCATAGCTATCTAATCGGCCTAGGGAACAGGGAAACATCTTCAACGTATGTATCTAAGTTTGTAACTGTACCAATTTTGTATTGATTCGAAGAAACAAAGCTCATCTCAGTGAGGTTTTCTCGTAACTTATATCTTTCTTTCCCTTTGTAATTACTTTTTTGTAATATGCTAACTAGATTAATTTACCCAAATTTATTTAGCCTTGGTGATTCTAGACAACAGTTATACTCATTCAGTCATTCCGTACACATTGATTACTGTTTGTTCTCTCTTCCATACCGAATCTAGTTTTTTGCTTGGAATTTCTTTTGCTCTAGAAATAACTTATAGGCTAATGAAAGCATTTTCGTCTGTCTAAATTTGTATCGTTTGGTAATTGCAGTATCTCCCGAGCTTTTCAAGCTATTTTCTTGTCATTCCAGACATTATGTTTGCATAATTCATAAACTTGTCTGATATGATGGCAGTGCAATGTTTTCACATGCACCTTTTCTGTTTTGGTTCACTACTCAATCTTTACGTGTTTATTATGTCATCTATCTTGGTGCGAACTCCGGTCCCCTTTGCAATCCGGTCCGGTCTCCATTGAACTCCGGTCCGGTCTCCATTGAACTCCGGTCCGGTCTCCATTGAACTCCGGTCCGGTCTCCATTGAAGGACAGCTCCCGATAACGCAAAAAATGAAGCACAGACAAAGTGATTATCCTACGATAACAAGCAGCTGCAATCGCAAAATAATGCTATCTGTATAGAGTTTATTAAGAAAAATATTCTGCCTCTTTTAACTGTTTTCACGTCGGTTCCCTAACTGCGTTTCGTTTATGGAATTGTATTACGTCGCTGCACCAAAATGATATGAAAATCGTCAACGAGGCTACGTAATTGAAGTGTTTGCTAGTGTTTGCCAGTGTGCAAAAGGTAAAAGCCTGTTATTGCTGTTTTTCAAAAACCGAAATTAAGCTCCATATCTTGAATTATGGTAAAGCGATAATTTTATGCAGTCGAGTATATTTAAGAATTTTCTTTCGGTGAAGGTAAATCTTACGCTCTTCCAATTAATCCCTTGAAGATCCGTATTAAGTTGATTTGACCTTTGATCATTTCTGACGGAGTTATCTTTAGTAGCAGGCTTGTCAAAAAATCGTGGATCGTTCATAACGCATGCACATTTGTTCTTGTACAAGCTGCGCAAGAAGGAGTCAAAATTAACCCTAACGGGAGTCAGGAAGTTAGAATAATAGATATTCTATGATTTGCAAGGATTGTTCTAGCTGAGTTGGCCTGTGAAAGAAATTCGATAAGAAAGTTAATTATGATTTAGTAAATCCAACGTCATCTTAAATTCGAAATGTTTCCTTACTACACGGATTTTCCTATATCTTTTAGACACTAGTGACATGATTAATCGAATAATATCAGGTAATAGATGCATGTCAGATCCCTCTTCCTTTGCCAGATTCGTTAGTCAGCTTACAAAGAGCCTTTATTTGTCACGACACTGATATGTCTCATCCAAAGGAAAAACTGGGACAAAATGACAGACTGTTCAGTTAATTAGTTCACTACGCAGATGTTACACTTATGATTGAATGAAAACTTGCTCCGCTATCCTCAAAGGGTCACTCTGTTTTCGTTCTATCTTGAATGGAAAGGCAGCAGTTATCTTTGCTGAATCATTCCAAGATGCAATCTCGGGGTTTAGTACGTTCGTGCAGAATGTTTGATATTGGCTAAGAATCATTCAGCTCTTATTCTTTCTTGTTAAGCTTGTTGGTTCCAAATCAAGTTCCTAAGCCCTCTGCAGTTTTGGGCTCTAAACATACTAGCATTCGTTCTAGAAAACCCTTCATTATTTCTTTACTTCAAAAAACAACCGGCAACGCAAAAAGAGAAATGAATCAAATTCCATCGATCCCAGAAAGCCTGATATCATGGTTTGATATCATATATTCAGATCGAAAGGATTCCCCCCTCCCAACACTGGGAGTAGGCTGGGCTGTCAGCGCATCAGCTCTTGCTAAACGCCCCCGAAAAGATCTACTCGTAAAAGTCAGGGGATGGTTCGTAAAAAAGCGCTCTCTCGCCAAGACTAGTGAGCCTGCCACAACTCTGAGCATATAGCTTCATAGGAGGTGAGCGAAACTGAACGAATAAAAGTAAAAGAAGTACCAATATTATATTAAGAACGCAAACAAAGTGACAGGAGCATGGTTATAAACGAAAAAGCAACTTGACCGAAAATCAGATTAGTATTCTTGGTTTAGTAACAAACAACGCTAAGCTACTTCAAATGCTTTTTATTTGAAGCAAAAGAATACGATCCGATTGCTATGATATGTTGTGATGTGATTTTCATTACTTATAACTATCTAGTATTAATTTTGATACCAAAAGTGTTGTGAAAATTCCTCTGTTTCACTTGAAGCCTGGGGCTGTTTCAAGAAAAATTGTGCGCAAAAGTCCTGCGAATTTGTGCTAAAAATTTTTTCATATTTAGATCTTCTCGGCTTTACATAACTATAATCCAGATTTATCTTAAAATTTTATTGACGGCTGGAAATATAGTAAAGAGATTGGTCTTAAAGCAATTTATCTGTCCGCTTTTAGCATGCGAAGGAAAAGAGGCGATTCAAAAGAGATGCAAGAACACGCTGAATTGACGTAAATGCTTCAAGGTTTGTTTCTGAAAAACAATTTTCAGTTTCTTAGTTGTATAAGGAAACAGGGATGTTTTAAAGAGTTTTTATTTACTCTCGTGTGTTTGCTTTGTTGTTCTTTTCTACGGTAATTTATGTACAAACGCTTGGATAAATGAAACTTGTAGTTGAATAAGGAAACGAAGTTATCTGAAATAGAATTCTGGATATGGCCGCTATAGAAAGCTGTTGCGTTTTCCTTACCCCTAGTACAGCTGAGTTTTTCTATCTTTCATTTTGACGTAACGTTGATTCAACCCACTTACAAAGTGGAAACATTTTTATAAAAGCTTCTTAAGGAAAGGAGTGATCTTGGTGGATTTTTCCACCCTTATCTAGCCTCTACTGTTTCGAGACATTTTGTTATAAGGGGCGTTTTTAATTGCCTGTGAAAGAAGTTGGTTTTTGCCATTTATAATCTTCAAATCTGACTATGCTCACAATTCAAACTGCGGTAGATGTTAGCTCGAGATTGACTTGACGATTTTGGGCTGATCATTCATAAGATAACAAACAAAGTCTTGAAACCCCGGAGATTGATACTTTTGAACACAACGAGGCTGTTTTTATATAAGGATGTCAAACAATGCGCAGTTTTGTCTCGACCAATAGAATCAATCTATCTCAGGCTGTTTTGCGCAGGCTTATAATGATAGGTCCAATGGTTCGTATGCGGTTTAATTGCTAATGCAGGCACACTGTTTAAACAGTAGGCGACTAGTTGTCATGAAAAGTGTAGTCCAGGATATATAGATGAGCAAAAAGAGTGACGGGATACAAAGATTTAAACAGGGCTCGTTATCTGAACGCTTGAGTGGCAGCGAAAGTAAACAGCATTTGGAGCGCTATTTCTGTGATACAGAAATGGGTAATGGGAAAGGTGTCGCCGTTTTGACAAGATTTGTAATTTTCCTCGTTTTTGCTGAATATATACTTGTGACTTTCGCGTGTGGCGTTGGAAAAGGATCTTATACAAATAAGGAGTTTCCACCGTTAAGAGAGAACCAGAGAAAGCCACAAGAAGATGAAGAAAGCAGTGTTGCAAGTGGGCCATTCAATCACAAAGTAAGGTTTGGTTCTAAAGAGTTCAAAGCAAAGATAGTAAGGTACTTTGGTACGAATATTGTGTTTAGAGATGATGAGGGAAATGGAGCTGACCGCTATATGACCAAGGTAAGAAACGCTTTTCATATGAATAACAATGTTAACGCTTAATGTAATTTCTTGTGCTCTTATCTATATTTAGCGTGTTAGTTTCTTAGACTCAAAATTATATTAAATTCCCTAAGACCGTATCGCGCTATGGAAAATTTATTTCTAACCTTCGTCTAACAGCACCATCTTCCAAAAAACATTGCCGCTAACTTTTCAAAAATCTTGTTTATGCGTGACCAGAAGTTCCTTTTCCGCGACGTGATTTCTTTGCAAAATTCAGGAAAACTTTTGCACAAGCATTTTGCCAGAGTTTGCTAACACTGATGTGAAAATCTTAATTTGCTTTGCAACTCTCCTTGGGTCTAAAGTTCCTCTAGAGGGTCTTGATTTTCTGCTGTAGCAAATGACCCTACGGCTGTAGTCAATTTTTTATTTTCCTTGTGTCCTTATCTTCGACAGCAAACTGCCTGCGAAAATGTCTGGTTTGACTTAATTAGCGAAAATTCTTCTGGCCAAAACATTTTCGGTATCATTAATCATCTTAAGATTAAGGAAGAAAAAGGATATTTGGGATTATCTTCATAAAAACTAGAAGATGAATTTTTCTTTTTCTAAGAGTATCTGGTTTGAGCTAAATTTCTAGCCCTGTAATGCGATTAAACTTTATTCTTGAATTAGAGGTCGCACAGCCATTCGCAGTCAATATTGTTACGTCTTTAATAAACTGCCTGGTTTCAGATTTGTAAGTTGTGTATCGCTTTCAAATCGCAGTAGCAAAAATGCCTGTTTCTTATCCAGCCTTTTGATGAACCTCGTTTAAATGCTAGTTTTAAGGGTTGCCGTGGAAAGAGGGGTATTGCAGTAACAGATAAAGAGAAATATTCACTAAAAACGTAGATTGCATAGCTTTCGTTTTTAAGTTTTTAAATAAACTTTTCAGTTTCGTCACAACGAAGACTTGGTTTATAAGTTACGGAATATTTTTTGCTGTTTTAGAACGCTGTAAAGCCATTTCGATGATTTTACAAAATCGATTCCATCAGTAAATTTCCTGTGTGTTGTAAACACGCCCCTGTCGTCTATTATCTTTAAAATGTCGCCTGTTTATATATTTATCGTTATCCCGTCCTGTGGGAAAGAAAAATCATAGGAGCACCTCCAAACCTACCAAAACTAAATTCACTCCCACGGATACAATTAATGGTCGATATATACATATAACTGGATCGTTAACTTAATTGATTGCTTCGGCAGTACCTCCTTCTATCTTCCAATCTGTTTAATGGCACAAAGTGAGTGCAATTTAGTACATTTTTTCAAAGGGTGACCTTGTAGTTACTTGAAAGGTATTTGTTTCTGTTTGCAGCCGTAGACAGTGATTAATAGGATGTTTAGGGGTATCGAGACGAGGATTGCTTGATACATAAGTCTTAGTAATACTCTATTCATTATTTTCTTCGCAAATGTGGGCACAATTAATTCTAAAGTATACCCAGAATGGGGTTTTTTCATCAATATCAGCAGTTGCCCTCCCCGCTTCTGCTGCTAGCAAATGAACTTCTTCCTAAGATTTTTAGGCAAATAAATCTTCCTAACACTGTGCTAACATTCTCAGGCAAATAAACTGAATAACAACTTTCCCGGCTTCGTTGTATGAAAGAAAGAGACCATTTCCATGATAACAAGAAAAATATTTTCTTGGCGTCGGCGTTACATAGCAAACAGCCGCCAGACTGTTGCAGGAATTGTTATCTGCCTTCTTTTCGATAAGAGAATAATTCTACCTAGGGTAATTGGTGCGATATAATAAGGGACATGATTTGGCTCAATGCAGACCCCGGCTGGATCGTTCGTTCGTATCTCGTCTGGCTGTAGAATGCACGATAATGTTGTCATAACTTAGACATTAAAGATGAAATAGGTGATAAATGGCCATTTATTCTAATAACCCTAAATTAAGGAATATAATAACACTCTGCAATTTTGTCTATCACACACTCAAGATAAAGCGAATCCTTGGACAACCTCAGGAAAGACTATCATTTTTTGTAAGAATGAAGATATTTCTATTTTGAATGACTGGTCTAAAACGATAGAATTCTTCGAGCTATAGAAAACTTATTAGGAAACATTGAATGAAATGAGTAAGAAAGATAGGAAGGTGTGACCATATGGTATTGTGCCTTCTTGACAACTGCTATCTCTATTGAATGTTGGGTCGCCTGTCAATTTTTGCCAGACTGATTTTCGTGCAGGGGTCCTGCCCTAGTACGACATGGGCGTTTAAATTTATTATTGTCAACCCAGAAGCTTGAAAAAACATGGAATCGATTCGTTGATGCTATTTCTTGATAAGCGTTCTCAAGCTGTGGCCTCACCAATGCAGAGGTGGTTTTTGCATGGTCCTTGAAACACCCCCTTAGGCGTTTGCCGTTTAAAATGCAAAAACGTTTTGACAAAAGCCCATTTATTCTTTCCGTTGTTATAAAACGATGCATAATCATTGTTTATTTCGAGAAACTGAAAAAACACGCAGTGCTTAGAGTTCCTTGATCATTCACACCATTTATTTGCTAAAATTTTCTTGAGCGTATCATAGAGATTGGAATGCCAAAAAGGAATGTTCTCTTTTTATTACCTTGTAAGATTCTGAGTATTATAAGACCAAATATGTACTTCATGTAAAATTTTGTTATGAGAGTTTAAAAACGGGTCGGTAAACTCCGGAGAAATCAAATCACGTAAAATACACAATTGTTGCAGATGCCAGGGAGATAAATCACAGGAGAAATCAGATTGATATCGCGGTTTGTGTGATTTGGATTCATTCAATATACGTGGGTATGGGGTCTTACAATTCACGTGTCAAATTGTCCTCTGCCAGCCACTGTAGGTATAATGCATTGTAGTATCAACCAGATGCTATGTTAGGGTACCAGGCACGATCTCACTTTGTAAAACACCACCCCTACCGGGCGCGAGTTTTCTTAAATTGCTAATTTTAGAATGCTGGTGACAGTTTTAGCCAAGATGTTTCGTTTAAGGGAGTGAGTGGGTTGGGTGTTGTTTCCTCACTGTTATGTCCTTGCACATTGCCACAATGTCGCGGGCAAACAGAGTACCTTTTCCTCAAACACGAAAACCCAGGTTGTCTTTGTTTACTATACGGAAAGACACGTGAACAACCAGCAGAAGTGAACTCTATTTCAAACAATATGACAGGACATGCCCCTAATTTCCCATCCAATCAACGTCAGCTCTTAACATAAATATTTGAAAAATGTCCGAAAGATTACAACTGTAAGTACATAAACTGCTGTTCTTAGCTTGGAAAGCGTCTCATTAAAAGTACACATCTATTGTCATGATTTCTGGTATATAGATCACAGGCAGTAGATTTCGACAATGAATTTCCTTCTTTTGAACAACATTTCTCCTGATCGCCCTTATAAAATAATAACGAATGATTCGAATGGGATATGTATCATCATTCTCAACACAATGGATCTGAGACTTACGTAGGATTGTAGACCTTCCCGATTGCTCAACATTTGATCAACAAATATCAATTTCCGTAAGTCTCAAAATCCGTCAAAAAGAAGGATTATGTTGCTCTTGCTTTCATGATAAAGACCGTAAATTGTTCTTTTGATAATAACAGTAAAAAGTGTAGGTGTATAATTTCCTATCCATTAAAAGCAAATCATTTAAGGGGATTTTTCCTAATGTCACCTACAAAATCATAAACAGTTTTTCGCATAAAACGGCCTTGTTCCCCCAATTCATTATAAAATCAGAAATCCTTTCTTCTAGCGTAGATTGCCTTAATAGAATTTATAGACAATCAGCGGCTACGAAAGCGTCGATCCATAAAGATGGTCGCATCTCAGAAAAACGAAGTGGCGCGACGAAGTGGAATGAAAAAATGGGAATTGCATTGTGTATGCTACGAATGTTCCAATTATCTCAAACGAAATGGAGCTGATTTCGTAAAGGTTTTTGCAAGTAGTTGGTTTGTAAGGATGTCTAAAAGAGCAATGATCTTAAATCTGACCTATTTCTTTGCAAATTTAACTTTTAATGTCAAAGAATTTTAATCATTGGTTTAGGTCACCTTTACTGACGTTAATTTTTGATCTCAAACTCTTATCTTCTTTATATACCTTAATTCCAAAAAAACCTCTTTTTTATATCATTTCCAAGAGCAGAACTGGTTCTTGCATTACTTTGAAGGCTGTTTCGTCTTCTAAGGCGAAAATCCTGCCCAAGACCGTTTTTGATTGATCCTGTGTCTGGTAGGGGTCAATTATCCAGAGTTGTGTAAAGGTTGTAACTAGTCAACGTGGACCAGCAGAGCTGCACGACTTGGAATTTGATTTCTTAGGAAAATAATTACACACGAAATGAGAAGCCCTGTGTCTATAGATATCTGTATCCCAAACAGCTAGCAATGAAAAACGAAACTTGAAGACGATATCTAGAAATATCATCTGATTGTGGATTTAGCATATCTTTTCCGAAACGTGCAGCTGTTTCTTTGGATAGTTATATAAGTAATGGGTAACATACGCATTGGTGTACAGAATAGGATGAATGTAAGTTGCTTTAAACCTCAGCAGCATAGATTCGTCCTGTTCTAAATACTAAAGTTTGTAAATTCCTGCAAAAATGGCATTTAGCACTTAAAGACGAACCAGTAAAACAGTAATTTCATTTATATGCGATATAAACAGATAGATAATGAAGTGTTCGTCTTCTGGAGGCAGCTTCTACAAGGATTTGAACTTTAGAACAAAGTTTTCTGCATGCTTTTGATGAATCCTATTGGAACTATCATAGCTGTTAGGTGCAAGGATGGCTCAGTTGTTAGAGGCGCTGACTACAGACACAAGGATCCGCGGTTCGAGTTCCTGGCTTGACCAAACTTTCACCCATGTGAGGAGAGTCGCCGGTCTCTGTAATTGCAGGCGTAGGAATCGCATTGAGAGGAAGGACCAGGGCACTGCTCGATAAGCATATGCTTCTCACTGTCCTAAAAAGTACCTCCGGATGCTACGTAGATACAAACACAACGCTATCATAGCATTTAGTCAGACCAAACCTGCTCAGTCCCTGAAACATGTGACCCTTAGTTTGGCCTTTTGAAAATCGAGGGCAATAGTTCAGCGCTAGTAAACAATTCTGTGTATGACAAGTTGAAATTTGCGTCTGAAATGTGTTTGAAACATTTCACCTGAATAGTTTTACCCATACCGTAAGAAGGAGAGCTTCTCTATTAGTTATGAAATCTGCTACTTCTTTGCGTACGAAAATATTGTTAAATTGAATGTTTATCTGCCAAATGGGACAATGCATGTTCCTACTTTAAGAGAGACTTGACACTGCATAAGTTTAGAATACAATGCTTCTCTATAATCTAGAACCTTATCCCCAAAAAGACTAAGCCAATCACAGAGATACAATATTTTCCAATTTTATCATTTTCAAATATATATTTTAACATCATGAAGCAAAATAAATAAAGTTAAGTTAAAAGGAAAACTTTAATATTAGATTTAATATTACATAAGACTTGAATATAAAGTTCAATATATGGAGGCACAAAGCTCCCAAGCGTTTGTTTCTCGTTCAACTGATAAAGTCTTTTTAATGGCTCTGAAAAAGCAAACATTTTACATCATAATGGCTAAAAGCTTTTTCGTCTGACACTCCTCAGAGCATAAAACGTCAGAATAAAGGTCCGAAAGAACATGATGACAAATATATACCCAATTGTGGATCGAAATAGGCCAATCAGAAAAAAATGCAAAGACAAAACCGGTATATTTGACCAATCACTGAAAAAACGTGCCTGAAAAAAAATTACCACTGGAGTCCAAGAGAGAGAATGAACTCCTTCTGTCTACACAATGGCGGCTTTTTTGTTTGTGTGTAGATCGATTCCAAACAGTCTTTAAACAGTGAAGACGTTAGAATGGATTAATCTTGTCTTTTCTTTATTTGACAACTGACAGATCATTGTAATGATAGTTAATAGAAAAATGACTATGCTTCTTATTTTTTCTGTCAATTTTGATCAACAAAAATAAATTTGCCTTATTATTTCATTCGGTTTAACAGTTTGTTAATTAGACCTATTACAATTATATGTTGGAAAGTAAACTTCATCACACTTTCTGTCTTCTGCGATCAAGCAGTAATTCTAGTCCCATTATTCAGCATTCAAAGAGGTTTTGTAAACTCCACACATTTTATGGAACGTAGACTCAGCTTGCAGTCATGCGTTCTTGCAGTTGTCTTGGGTTCATATAATTAAGATATTTGTGCGGTTTTCATGAAAATTTACCAAACATTACTGCTTATTCAATCTAAGCTGGATACAAAACCGATTTATTTCAAACACGCCTGTGTTTTTGTTATCTATAGCATCTTCAGCAATTAATGAATAGATATCAAAATTGGTCCTTTAAACGATCACGTTCTTAGTAAAGTACGGCATATTGCATTCCCAGCATCCTTGTCATACTACTGTCGTCAGAGAAAAAACAACAGAAACTGTTGAAGAAGAGACGACACGTGATATGCGTAACCTCTTTTCTGTTTATCACAATTTAGTGACTGCATTGGGACAGCCACCCGTTTTTGACTCCCAAACGTTAAAACTTCCCAGCTTTCTAGAAGTCAACGTGATACACTTTTCATCCAAAACCTCACTTTTGATCCTTTAAAAAAATCATGCCACATTGTAAACCAGCTCTTGTATATTTTCCCTCTAATCTTACTAAAAGTGCCTCTGGCCTCCCCGAGAACTTTGAACTCTAGCGCTAAACATCGTTGCTTTATAAGGAAGTAAGTATCTTTGAACTCATAATGGAACTGTTCTTTGCTTGATGTATCTTGCAAGAATTATGCAGCAATAGAAAATACCCTGTACAATTACCTTGTGTGCACAGATACACAGCAACAAGAACATTAATTCTGGTTTAACGATTGACTGGATTTACAGATGCTGAATTTGGAAACAATAATAACTTTCATTTGTAGCTGCTAAATCTACCTTATACAGCATCAACACCTTCTCTTCATAGTCATTATATATAAAGACTTCAACACACAGGTGCATCGATGCTCTCCCACCAAATTAGGCAGCGTTTCAGTCCCTTTAATGCACCAAGGTATAATGATGCACACCAAATGAACTTGTGTATTTCTGAAAGAAAACATTCAAAACTCCACCCATTTACTTTCAACCTAATTATCGTGAAAATGTGAAAGATCCTTGTTGAATTGGACATAGTCGTTTTTATGGACAATTACTGCTCAGGATTCCTCACAGACTGGTCAACCACACAACTGATAGTAAAGTCAATTTATCATATTTTCGATCCCCTTCGACACGCCCTGTTAAACGTATCCTTTTATCCTTGGTTACATCGATATAAATTTCTTAAAAGGAATTTGAGATAGGAGTTTTTAAAAGTTGTTCCCCCATTCCCATTATGCTTAGGGGCTAGCTTTACCTTAGATTGTAAACTTCCAAAAACACCTTTTCAAATTATCCATTGTCTATTTGTTTCTGACACACTTATTGAACGCAGGTCGTTTGTTCCGCTGTGTGTTATGACAATTGTCGAAAATATTCCTCCTGAAAATAGATGCCCTAAGGACATTAAGAAAAACTGTTCGTTTTTGTCACAAGCTCTATATTTTCATTTCAGTCAATTTTTTCAGTTCAGTCTATTTGTGGATCCGCTTGTTTCTTTTTTGGGGATTTTACAGTTTGTCCTCCGTAGCCAAAACATCCCTGATAATGTTTGTAGGCATGAAGTATGATTTTTAGGTTCCACTATTTATTGTTACAGACTCCTTAAAATGCTTGCAACAGGTACGATTGTCGTAACAAACATATACTCTTCTTCCATAGCGGTGCGAAAGAGCTCTCAAGAAGTTGGCAAAATACGTTCGTGTTAAATGGCATAATAAAGTAAAAGTAAGAGTAATTGAGGCTTGGGATGAAGATGGGGAACACCCACCACGCTCGCTACACTACGAGGGCAGAGCTATTGACATTACAACTTCAGACCGAGACAGAAAAAAATACGGTGCGCTAGCAAGTTTGGCCTATTTCAAAGCAGAATTTGACTGGGTTGCATATCTGGATGGCCATGTTCATGTTTCGTGTAAAAGAGGTGAGGTTAATTTTATATGCTTTTGTAAACATAAGTTTTTTCTGTTTTTAAATCTTCTAGCAAGGTAAGTAAAACTTCATTTGCTATCATATATAGGCATATCATATTATTGGCATGTTCTGTACTTTAGATTAGATATTCTGCAGTCTTAGAGAATTAGAGTTGACTCAGCGGTAAAACCCACATGCACCGTACTTTCGTCTCCCTGACATGACCAAACTTTCACCAAGAGTGAGGGAAGTCGCCTGCTCTCTGCAATTCCAGATGCAGGACTCATGAGCTTTGGTCACATCAAGAGGAAGGCCACAACACTGTTCGATTCAGACCCCCACCTACGTCTAAGCCGTCCCAGAATCGTAAAAACACCATATAGAATAAAGAAAATTCCTTTACCTGGATTACGAATGAGATATCATCTCAATTTCCAGTTATGTTTCCTTTTATGTGCATTTTCATCATTCTGTAAAATATCAAAAATTGACGGGCCACCATGAAGGCAATTTTACGTGGTCTTAATCAACAATAACATTTAGAGCATGTCGTTTGATCTGTCTCTTAGACGTTATTACGTTCTTAAGCTAATCGATAAAGCTGGCCAGTTTGATTGTTATTTGATGTGAAATGAATTAAGAGTTTACTCTTCAAATCACTAAAACTCATGACAAAGCCATAAGCCGTTTTGAGAAAACAAACAAAGTTAAAATTAATTTTTATCCTTTTCAACTCGACCACATAAAAGGTCGCTTGAAATTTTTTGCAGCAGCTCAGCAACAGGCAGTCATCGATGTTTGCGAAACTTGTAGGTATTACAACGAATTAGGCCCACTCTCGAATCTAAGGTTAACCAATAAGACGTACAGTGATAAGAAAAAGGAAATCTGGGGAATGTGAAAAGGTACATTTTGGTCAATAATGCCTTAGGGCGTGTATTTTTATTTAAGTGCAAAAAACTTGGGACACCCAACCCCAATGAATGTAGTGAGCAACATTCCTTCTAATGATTTGTTAAGATCAGTGAACGAAATCCATTTCCACCATACTTTGAATGTAAATATCTGTTCTTTATCTTTCAAATGTTCAGTCACTGTTCAGAAAAGAATAATTTTTTTAATGACGAAGAAAAAGAAAGGCAAACGAAGGTTGAAACCCCATTCGTTGACTTGTTTTCCAATAGTACGTTCAATCGGCAACACCAAGTAGAAGTGCTGTGCGCTATCGCCATATTGCTAAGCCAACAGATCTTCTTTACTCATACACATGGCATCCACTATTACAGTTTGTATCGACCTTCTATGATCGCATCACCAATTTTCGCCATTTTTCTATTTCTAATATGCCTTCTGCAAATTAAAACCGAACTCTTTATCTTTGCATCATTGCCAACTTTGCATCTTAACAACAGCTATATCTTCTGCTACTTTTCAAAAGTTTCATTTCTTCGTCTCCTTTCTTCTTTTAAGGTTTCATATAAATGAATTATAAACCCTTAATTCTTCAAAGGAAGCCTACTGCGGTTATGCTAATCTTGCATTGCTCTTTCCATGCATATTTAAAACGAGAAGAAGGAATGGATCTAGTCTTCTTCCATGCTTAAAAAGCATACATCCTTCTACTTTCTATCCATTAAATGCCGTTTTTAAATGCGTTTTTAAATTATTCTCATTCATTTATTAGGTTGTTAGTTTGAGTGTTATAGCGTTTTATGGTGCAATTAAGCACTTAGTAGTATGCAGATACTTAGTCTTGTGTAATTAAGCACTTAGCATCTTTTACAATATAAAGTTAAAACAACTTATCGAAACGACAAAATGATAATATATAGCATTGAAAGAACTTCCTTTTGATTTTTTGTCTCTAAAACGTAACAAGAAGATTTGTCTATTGATAATTTTAGCAAGCGATAATCGTAAGGCACGCCAAGCAGCTTAGATTTTAAGGCAATTTTATTTGAATTGAAGCTAATATCTACATTGAGCAGGCACAATTTGCACTGCCTCATTGGTGCATTGAACTAATAGAATTTTGCTCTTATCTGCAAACTGCGTTCCGGTATAAGGGCTCACAATTCACCATGTTTGCAAATGCTAGCCATTAAAATATATAAAACTTCCTGATTTTCAATAGACAATTACCTATTGCAAATTATAATCGTTTCAATCAGAACTTGAATTATCGCAATGAATGTCTGCATGATTGTCAGTGGTTTCGGGGTCATAGGGCCAAAATTGGGCAAAGTAGACTAAAAATTATCGTGACAACGATTCTAAATTGAATTGAAAGAACTATACAACCATATTCAACAATCTCCTTGTGGCACAAAATTTAAAAATGGTTGTCAAAAAAGCAAGTATTTTGAGACATACTAAAGCTTTTCATCTGACACTCTTCGGAGTATAAAACTTCAGAACATAGATCAAAGCACTACGCTAGGAAATATTTTTACCCAGTTATGGATCGATATAGGCCAATCAGAAACGCAAGTACATGACTGTTTAAGTTCCCCAATAAGTGACAGAGCACCATATTCAAAGAACCGCTTTACAGAAGTTCTATCATGAGGAAATGCCTTGTATTAACATGTCTTTCTTGATTAGACAATAAAAAAACATGCATTTGTTTTGTAATTTTTTAAACTTAGAATTCAATGTTCGATTCTGGTTGATAGTACACTGTAGATTCCTTGTTGCACACTTTGATGATGATCACACAATCGCATGTTTAGTTTGATGTTTTATGTTTCCACGTTTTCGTCCCATCATGAAGCTTTGTACGTCAAGGCTTATCTTATGAATACCATTTGTACCTAAATGAATCCCATGAGGAAACCCCCTGTTGATCCGGGTCGAAACTTGAGGAGAAGCAGCGATTTGTAAGCAATAATTGCCAATAAAGATATCGAATTAAAGACGCAAATATCCATGATTGTGACCATGATCATAAAATATAATCACTTTTTTAATCAATCAACTTCAACTGAGGGCCAAGAGTAATCATCATCACTTTCTCAATTTTGTTGTCCGGACAGTCTTAGTGTAAGTTGAACAAGACGTTCGGTTCACGAAAAGAGAATTTGATGTGAATAAATGTGGATTAAAATTTATGTAGCCAAGTATGTATATAATTGAAAGAATTTCAAATTAGCTTTATAAAAGTGTATTTTGTCACAACGCGCGACAGATCAAAGGATGACTGTTGCAAACTTAATATGAATAGTATCGTTGTTTCAGTGTCATTTGCCGCATGAATCTGCCAGACATAACTGTCACTTCTTCTTATTTACTAACTTCGAACAAAAAGGAGGATCATCATGTCTTTGTTTCTAATAAAACCAGCCTCATTGATGTAAAGGGATCAATCGCAGATACAACTAAACGATTATGAGATTGGTGCATGTGACTCGAAATCTCTTCCTGTATTGTTGCCAATTCGACCAAAATGCCAAAATGGCGGCCGACAAGCTTGATCCAATGAGCTTCAGTCTTGATCATGACATGTCGAATAAGATTAATTACGCTATATCTGTGATCTAATTCAATTGCCATTCGCAATTTGACTGCAAATGTCGTTAACTACAGCAATAGGTGTTGCGTTGGAGACATTTTCGGTATATGTTTCACGGAGAAGCGATTTAAAGACTAGTGACTACTTTGCCAAAGGATAAACTTGTTAGTATTACACAAGATGTAGCCATCATAAGACTATTATTGCGCTCATAATGTACCTTTAACCTATCTTTAACACTTTTACTTTGGCTAACAACATGTTAATTTAGCCAAAGTCTTAACTGAGAATTTGAAACTTCACATTTACTTCTCTTTACATTTTTAGCGTAATAACACATTTATAAAACAAATGTTAATCAAAATGATTTTGAAAGTCCTTTCTGAGGGCCACGTGGAAACAGATAATTTAAAAGGCGCATACTGCATGGAAACGTCCGTTTTCTCTATGATAAACAAAACTCTTACAAAAGATAATAGAAAGTCAATTTTTTGAAGTAAAGGTGACCTGTGCGCAATCGATGACTGCCATTGTTCTTACAATTTCACACTACTTCTTCTGGAATTTCTTTTCACACTGAACCCCCATTAACACACATGTCCTAATTATCGACATGTTAATGTGTGCAGACTGTTAAGAACTACATCACCACACTTTATTCAATCATTTCATTTTATTTCGTTGCTGATTAGTAAAAAGATAGCGAAATCTTTAGATATCCTCTAGAACTGCGAATTCAATTATTACTTATCGATTAACAATCCTATATTGGTTTTACGTAGATGATGCGGTAGAGGAAACCAGCAGCTGTTTCCCTGGCCGTGCAACCGTTATAGCGTCTAACGGAAAAGCAAAGCGAATCGATGAATTGGAAATTGGCGAGAAGGTGCTGACTCGCTCATCTTCTGGAGACCTAGTTTACAGTAGAGTTGTTATGTTTATGGATGCAAAACCGAATGTCGTCATCAAAAATTACATAGAAATCCAGACAGATAACCCACGCAGGAAACTTCAGTTAACAAGGAGGCATCTTCTGATTGCATCAAAAGATGGTGTAAACTTTGAGACAATATTTGCTGAAAAGGTTGTAGTTGGCAACATCGTGAAAGTATTAGCAGAGAACGGAACAACATTAATAAATTCCCGAGTTTCTGGGTGAAATTACAAAAACTTAGAGGAGCATTCGCCCCTTTGACAGAAGAAGGGACAATTTTAGTCAATGGCATGCTAGCCTCCTGTTACGCAATGACGGAAGATTATAGGACAGCACATTTGAGTTTTGCACCATGGCGATATCTGTTTGAATTAACTGACTTCCCGTATAAATACCAGATTCAGCAAGGTGAACACTGGTACACAAGACTGCTGGTAGCTATAAACCGTGCTTTTGGAGTTCTTCCAGAAGTTTATGCCCAATAGTTACTTCGTAGAGTAGAGCTCGGGAAGTTTACAGTAAATTAATATATTGGAATTGAAGTAATAATATAAAGAAAAATTACAGATCCAGGGAAACGTCGTCACAACTTCAGCATTGTTCCGTGGTCTCTGTCAGTATGTAACGTCGATAATGGATCTTGCAAGATATAGGTTGTTGCTACAAATCCCAATGATGAATAGCACTGTTGTAAAGCAGTTGTAAATAGTTGTACTATTTTCAGTAACCGATAATCCATGATAATTTATTTCCTCCTTCACATTGGACTGTCGCTGTATGAATTCAGTTGTGAGGGGACAATCTTCAGAACATAGGTTTTTCTTTATTGAACGTTGAATCTTTCTTGTTAGTAACCTTTTTTCTTTGGAGTTTGTTGCCTGGTTGCGATCGATAGATATATTTCTCTTTTCTTTCACCAAGCAATATAAGACGGAGCTTAGAAAGGTAGAAACGACAAAAGTGTTCTACCATTGATTGTATGCACTACTGAAGAAAAATGTTTTTACAACAATTTCTTTTTATCCTGTGCCGACACTGTTATTTTTTCCCTTTTTAATTAAATATATTTCCAATAAGGAACATAAAAAATCATGTTACAAACAATTTTTTAGCGGTAAAAAATTTAAATTTGCCTTTGAAAAAAGCAAGCATTTTAAGCCATACTTCAGTATATAAAACGAGTATTGATCGAAAACTCAAAGCAAAGAAATATTTAACTTGTTGTGGATTTAAGTAGGCCAATCAGAAACGCGGGCACATGATTGCAACGGATGCCTATTGGAGACATTACCAACGGAGTCCAAGGGTGAAAATGAATTCCTCCAGTCAATAAAATAGCGGTTTTTTCATTATGATTTTGATGATTTCTGGAACTGCCAAAAAGTGTCAGACAAAAGTCTGAAATATGTTTTCAAATTTTTGCTTTTTAAGGCCATTTTAAAAAAATTATCTAGAAAAAGAAATTGATTTCCTTTGATTCCTTTTTCCATTTCAGTAATACCATTTTAATTTTTTAAAAGTTCAGTTTTCGATCTTATTTCTTTAGCGCTGATGCATACGTTTTAAATTTTCCGGGCTAGTCAAGCATACTTGATAAACACAACCAACGTATTTTTCATGAAATTGTACTTTGACTCTTTCAAGAAAAAAATCAGGGGACTGCCACTAGAAGGTTCCCTTAAGTGAGCACTTGTTTGTTTGAATTATACTAAAAATAGAAAAACTTGCTGACCGAATCCTTCAAAATCAGCCTAAAAGCAGTGGGGTTTGGAAATTGCAGACAAATAGCATCATGAATGCTTTTTCATTACGAGAAGATGACTCAAATAATTCCGAATATTTCCGAATAGAAAAAGCAATTGGAGAATTCCCATTGGGGAATTGTTATCCAAAACATGGAAGAATTCTCATTAAATCATAAGGTAATTTTTTCAAGCCGAACTCCTTTGAAAGAGATTATATGACATCCAGGCGAAATATTTGCATTAAGAGTCTTAGAAACCAACTCCTCCTTCACCTCTTAATGGCTCGTTTTTTTAACCTGCTTTTTGCCTTTTTTGTGTCTCATATCATACCGCCGGTGAAATGCTATGACAAGAGATATGTAGATGCGACAATAGGTATGACTGTAGATATGAAAAGTAAATTGACTTGAATGGTGAGAAGAATGAGCTTTCTTACCTATTCCCTCATCAGAATTCAAAACTGACTGTCAGTTTTTATGACCTGAAGTTTTTTGTACTAAAACAAACAACTAAAGCCGATGCATCTACAGCAAGTGACATTATCCACAAGACAAACACAACAAGATAGTAATGCTTTTGTTTGTATTAAAGTTGCACAAAATTTCATCTTAATTGTTGCCAAGCTTTGACTGGATGGAGTGAGCTATCTTATAAAGTCTACATGCTCCGCACGAAAGATACTCGAAAGATCAATCGACCCAGGATTCCTTTACGCTCGATATAAGCATTGTTTTCAGATCCCACTGCTTTATTCAGCTCAAGATAACTTTTCTTTTAAGGACCTTATCATTAAGATAAAAGAACAAATCACAAAATAGTAACATTCGTATGATTTAATACCAAATATAACTGATTGTAAAGTTTACTGTCCTAAAATATTAGTTTGATTGTAATATGTTTTATTTCTATCTGTTCTCATGTATGTGTATTTAAAATGAAATCGTAAATACCAAATGTGGATATTTTCTCATCTTTTAAAAGCGACAGGGAACTCTATGCCAGAAAGAATATTTTTTAATTTTCATATGGCGGTCTTAAAAAAAGGCAAAATTTGGTAAAGACAAAGAAACAGCGTGAAATTACAGAAACTACATTTAAATTCGAAATCAAGTAATGCCTAAGTAGCGGGACAATACCGTTGAATATTTTCAATCATGTATATTTGCAGACCAGCATTTTGTTGGGATGTTTGCCATAGTAGCAGGCCAAGCAGAATCTCCGACTTTGGGTAAATGATGCCTGAATGTAAGCCCACCTCATACTTACTCTTTAAGTCTCCTACCTAGGGAGATTTAAATATATGCTCGCTCACTTGGGGGAGCATCAATACATGCTCACTTACCTGAATATAATGTTTAGAAGATGTGTAATTGAAATCGTAATTGATGATGTGTTTATGGAAATTTAGGCCAGAGTTATACGACGCTGGATTGGATTCACCGTTCAAGGGTTATCTGAATTCGTGTGACTGAAATTCCTGTTCGAAAAACCTATCCGAAATGAAAGCCAATTGGAGTGAAAGCCAATCCGGCGTCTTTAATTCAGGGCTAAGTCAGGGGTTGAGCCGAGTAGTTTCTAGCATGAAAGTTCCATTCTTTGCGGCAACAGTCACTGTTCCTTTTCTTGACTTCATTGTACGCTTTTTACACACTAGATGAGCAGTATGAAATATCCTCTGATTGTTACTTGCCGTAAATTCTCGAATTATCCCCAACGGGGGCTTATTCGAGGGGGCTTATGCGGGATTGGGGCTTATAAAAATCTTCTCGTTGTCTCATTCAAATAGCACGTTTGCTTTTTTCAATTTTCAAGTTCACGTCATTTGTTAAAATTATACTTGAAATAGTCATCCTCAAATATTGAGCCAAAGTATAAATCAAATGCAAAACGATATTTTAGTCCAAGATATTAATATGGGAGCTTATTAAAACGCAAAAGTTGGCATTTTTTGTTTGGAGCTTATTTGAGCGTAGGGCTTATTCACATATTTCAAAATACATAAATCTAAGACCTAAATCTCAGCGTATCATGCTCTGCAGGAACTGACACTGCCACAGTATGAAAGAATGGCAAACGGTTCAAAAACTATGATTTAATATTTCGTACCAAAATCGACTAATGATTTTTTGCAAAAAAGAGTGCTTCGTGTCGACCATTCGATGGATTTATGTTGAATTGTGAAATCCTTTTTGGAGCATTCTGCTACTGGCCCCCTATTGTTAAGCATGCCTCCCGTAGTTTTAATTTCTATCTGTTTGATAGTTGGGCAGTTTTTCATGGTCTATAGCTTTAAATATTAGTTTCCACTTGCACCTGTCGTTTTATATCATCCAGTTTGTTAGCATTTAACTTTGTGAGAACCGATGGACACGATCGTAAAGACGATCTTTGATAGTATTAACTACTTCTCCAGTTGTTTTTAGCTTCAAAATCTTTCAATATTTCGTAAGATTGATCGTTTCCCAAAGCGGTTTGATACAATTTCTTTGAGTAAATGGTTGTTGTTCTGATAAAGCTTGAGTTGGATACTGTTGATTCCAGATAATTATTGCTCGATCAGATATCAAATCTATCAGAATATCATTCAGTTCATCAAAAGTGTCTCGTACGGTAACTTGGAAAGTCCTCATAATTCACAGATTACAGTGTCATCGGCATATTGTATTGACTGACAGGAAGAAGGCATCATTTTATGCCATTTGCATGAAGGTTTAAAAAAGTAGGCCTATAACGGAACCATGTAGAGCACCAAATATGTTGCCATAAATTTGGATTTCTTCAGGTCGAGTTGCGCTTGTGGTCCGTTACAATTGGTGTAGAAATAACAGCGAACAAGTTCTTTTTGGAATCGCAATTGTGCATTGATTTTAATTCATTAAGTGCAAAATCATTCCACGTGATAAAACTTCGAACAAAGCTTTGTCCAAAAAAACTATTTTTACAAAATTTATAGTTGTTCCAACGTTTGTCAATCTAAAACTTTTTGTATAAACTGCGAGATCACAGCGTAAATTGACTGAAGCAACAGAAATCAAGTGACCTCAAAATCGTTTTTCTTATTACAAATCAAAACAAAACAAGACTTCTACGGCCTCTAGCTCTCTCTAGCTGATTCTTGTATATTTGAACATACTTTTATTTTAGAGAGAAATCTTAAATTTATGATAGTTAATGCCCTATTTCAGTGGAACTAAGTATCTTTTGATGTAGACAGATTCAATTGAAAATTTAAACATTACAAATAGTCTTAACTTTTGCAAGTACAACAAGCAGTAACATAAAAGACGAGAAAAAACTTAAAAATAAAATAATCTTACTTCCGCGTAATTTATCAAGAAACTGTTCAATTAATGGTGGTGTGTATAAATGGTTAGGCTGGTCGGTTGTTCCTCAATCCCCCCCCCCCTCTCTTCCCCCAATTATAAGCATAAGTAGAACAATATAGATAAAACATATAATGCTAGTCAAAACCTAGTAAATCATTCATTTCGACGGATATATGATACAGGCTTGAGGCCCCTTGAAATCATAACACGGAAAACACTTTTCCTGAGGTCCCTAAAGGTCTGGGACTGTTAGTTTTTTAACTGGTACGCCATTGCTTTGTGTGTGAGACTCAAAAACGAAAAATGATAGTGAAGTTTTATAAACATTATATTTACTTACAATCGAATTTCATTCTATACGTATAATTTTCCCAAAACGTATTTTTTTTAATTCGAGCGTCATCTTTCTTAATATTTGCTTATTTCATAGTTGAAAGTTCTATTCATGATAGTAAAAGAATCTTCTTTTTTCGTTATAGTAAAATCCTTAAAACAGAACAAAAATGTTTTAAAACTGCACGTTGAAGAACCCCTGTGGTTAATAATTGGTTAGTTTTTGGTTGTTGTTTGGCTAGAAGTCCGATCGCACTAAGATGCTTGTAAATATTATCAAACATCTTCAGACTTCTCCAGACTTTATCAAACTTCTTCAGACTTCTTCAGAGTTCTTCAAACTTCTTCAAACTTCTTCAAACTTCTTCAGACTTCTTCAAACTTCTTCAGAGTTCTTCAAACTTCTTCAGAGTTCTTCAAACTTCTTCAGACTTCTTCAAACCTTTTCGAACTTCTTCAGACTTCTTCAAACTTCTTCAGACTTCTTCAAACTTCTTCAGACTTCTTCAAACTTCTTCAGAGTTCTTCAAACTTCTTCAGACTTCTTCAAACCTTTTCGAACTTCTTCAGACTTCTTCAAACTTCTTAAGACTTATTCAGACTTCTTCAAACTTCTTCACACTTCTTCACACTTCTTGAGACTTCTACAGACTTCTTCAGACTTCTTCAGTAATCTTCCAAAGAATGGGAGAAATCAAATAGCCTTTTAGCTAATTTCCTTCTGCCTGCCTTCTCTCTTTGCGACAGGTTTTTTGTCGCATCGCATTGTGTCTAGTCTTTAAATTGATTCGGTTAATGGTAATATCTGTCAAAAAATAATTTACTTTGTATCTAGCGACTCGTTATTTATTTAATCTAAGGAAATTTTATCTATTTTTGTGGGTCGATAAGCAAGCTTTTCTAGCGTCAATCACATTTGTCGTTAAGTAAACATGCGCTGCTTTTGGGGGGTATGGGGTGCCACAGCACCGTAGAAAACCGGAAAATTTAGGAAACACTGCTATTTCCTAAATTAATAGGAATTCGGAATTTTAGGATATATTTGTTTAACCAACACCCACTTCCCCTTCCCCAAAAATTATTCAACTTCCACGGCGCCCCTGTACGTGTTTGTGAAGTGACGTTGGGAATGAGCCACCTGTTCTCGATCCTGCGATTAAAAAATCCAGCGAAACAACAGATACTTCACACTATATGCTGTGTCTAATGCACGTGCAGATGTAGATCAGTTAAGAATCCGGCTACACAGAAATCTCAGAGTTACCATTCGATTTTGGTAGCAGAAAGTTATTCGTCTACAGGAAAGCAGTCACAGCACAGGGATAAGTAAGTGCCGTTTCTTGTTCCATAAATTTTGATTCTTACACTTTTATTGTCATCACCATTAATTTCTACATAAAAGATCGATGTCTTGAGCATGTCTTGCCTATTTCTTGCTTCTTATCTGTTTTGTTCATGCAATTCTAATAAAAATTTGTTTGTGGCTTTGGAGAAAGCAAACATTTAGTAAACTAAAGCTTTTCGTCTGACACTCTTCAGAGTTTAAAACGTCAGAACATATCTATGTATCTATCTTCTGACGTTTTAAACTCTGAAGAGTGTCAGATGAGAAGCTTTTGTTTACTAAATGTTTCCTTTTTTCAAAGCCATTTACAAGTTTTGTACAATCAAAAGATTGTTTACAAATTTGTTTCTTATGTGACCAAATCTAGACACTTGCTCAAATATTTTTTGGCAATATTCCTGTCTTGTTTTCGTATTATGAGAACATTTCGGACAAATATCAGATCATGAAACATTCTGCGAGTGCCCTATCAGCTATCAGCCAGTTTCAATAAAGGTCTCAAAAGATTTTGTTATTTTTCGATCACCTGTCCTTGAGGATTGTGCTAGTTTTTTTGAAAAATTGCCATTTGTTTCCCTCCTGCTTGCAAATGTTGTCTGCCATGTGCCAGATTCTCTACTGTTTGCGACGCAGAAATCATTTTTGTCAGCACGGAAAGCCTTTCATTTTTGCTAATTGCTCGTACACTTAGGAAAAAGAGCTTTGTCGACCAATTCGCGGATGTCCGTGTAGCTTGCTTTCAACTGAAGTGAAAGCGCCGACATCGCAGAAAGGTAAGTCAAGAACAAGGTTGCTAGCTCTATTTTACACTTTACTTTGAAACTGAAGACATGTTTTGGTTGTGTCTTGATAAACCGTTGACCTAGAATGCGTGTCGTTTAGCAAAAAGTGCCTTTAGGAAAAGCTAGTTTTCAGTGACCAAAAATGACAGACCCTGTAGATTCTAGGCGGGAGAAACTGTTACGGTGAAAAGCAATTTGAGATCGATGGGCTGGCAAATACCTTCAATCGATTTTTTTTCATATATCTTCTTTGAAAGTGAAATGTAGATTTCGTACAAAAGATTTGAAAAATGTAGTGGATTGTTTACAAGACCTTGACAGGGTATTGTGAAGAAAACAGAAGAGGTTATAAATTGTAAGTAGTAAATGGGCATTTTTCCTTGCAAATAATGAAAAGAGGAGACATCTACTAAATGTGTTATCTTCAGCAGTAAATGTCAATCTGTTCCATCTTATCTGAAGGAATCATCTTCAGTTGTTACTTCTGACGTAATAAATGGTGTTGAAATTAAAAAGGGCTTTTATTGTTTTAACTTTTGCTTTTATTGTTTTAAACAACAGGCTATTGCCCTCCTCTTTATATAAAGAAAGGCTTGCCCCCAGCTTATTTCCCTTAGGAAAGGCTATGTTCCGATTGTTCACTGCATTCATCAGCCGACATAAAAAGTAACGTGACGCGACGGACTCTCTTGGGATTGGGACAAAATCTCTCAAATGGAGTGGTCGGGAGAGTCAGGAACTATGAATAAAAGAGACGAATAAAAAGTCGAATAAAGTAGTCGAAAAAAAGGAATTTGCATCACCTCTTGCCTCATCTCTTGATCCACCTCTTGGTCCACCTCCTGGTCCACCTCTTGGTCCATCTCTTGGGCAATCATATTGTTTCTAAAAACGTGGTTCTGACATCTGACAACATGTACGTTTACCAACAATCGTTAATAACTCCAGGCGACCCTGAAACATTCTAATGTGGAGTTTGGTTTTTACTGGTTTCAGTTTGCCAACTAACATTTGAAACATAAACGTGCCGAGGAGCGAAGAGGATCAAATCGAAATGAAATTAATAACAGTCAAATATCCCTTATGCTCTTCAGTGCCTTCGCAGAAACGCTGGTTGGGATTTTCCGCTGTGTGGTTGACAAAGAATAAAAATAAAAGGCTCTTTGGCACAAATACGATTAGAGCAGGGCTGCCCAACTTCTTCCATTGGTGGGTCATAGACAAAAACTTACTGCACAGGCGGACCAGATGAATACTCATGTTTATCATCGGCAAATTATACATTGAACAGTAAATGGATTAATAATTACAGTTACATGAAAATAACATAAAAAAGTTACATAAACAGTTACACAAAAAACTATCAATGTGAAATGCTAAAATTTTCTTGTTTGCAAAAATTTTATCACAACACACATTAAACTGGTGGAGGACGTGCGAAGACAGATTTTAAACGTTTCTTTGTATGCTTAGATTGTACCTTTACTTCTTCTGTTCAGCTTCATTATAGAAACGCTTGCTTACAATAATGAGAAGGTATGCCTAAAGATGAAAAAGTATTCCCAAGAATTAGAAAGTACACCTAATAATGAATCATAAAAATATACTCAAGCACCATAGACATATATACTCAATAAATTCAAGGAAAAAAGTTATTGACTTCGCACGTACCACAGATTATGTTAGTAGACACCCCTGTTGGACATTTCGTATGTTGGACACCCCTGGATTAGGGCAATAAATAATAAGCAATCAAAATCCAGTGAACACTGAAACTCACGAATAATTGATGAGCACCAAATAGGTTATGACATTTAGCGTCCACTTTCAGCAAACTTTATCTTTCCTTTTTTCTGGTCTTGCGAAAATAGCTGTTAAACAATCTGTTACACAATTGAAGTGTCTCTGGAAGCCCTTAAGTTTTTAAAGTTTTCAAAACCATACGGAGAAGCATTCTTTTAATCTTTTTCGGCGTGCATATCAAAGATTTTAGTTCTCAAGAAAACTTCTGCCAGATGATTATTGTAAAGTGCAAAGCAATATGCTAAATGCAAAACAGCACGATTCAAAATACCGTGAAAAAACGGGAGCAAACAGCACAAAACCTTCTTAAACATGAGGCAAAATACGTTTGCTGAAACACTGCCTTGAGTAAGTAAGAAATCTTTGATCGAGACCAAAAGGCAAGCCGAAGATGTTTCTTCGGTAACCATATTATTTTAATAGTAACTGCCATCAGTCGCAAAGAAACTGCATAATAACATATCAGAGAAGTTTATTTCAAGAAGAAACCCCGCAGATTTGACCTTGGTTATGTGCACTTTGAAGTGAAAGACTATTTCACAACCAATTCAAACTAACTCTTTTGGGTCTGGCTCATTTAAATGCAGCCAAGTATTACCGAAAATGCTACCCATGTTGAATCGCAAATTGTGCATTTCGTATTACTATGTTTCACTGTTAACTGGATTTAATCATAAGAGCTGATAGATTGGGGCTCAGGCTGGCTATTCTTGATTTTTCCAAAACGGTGAAACTGAATTGTTTTGCAAGCTAATCAAGATCATACAGGAGAAAAAATTCTGCTGCAAAACAAGAGTGGATTTGTATAATGCAGCTTTTTTGATGACATTAGCAAAACATATACCTTGTAATGAAAGTTGAAACCTCAATAACAACGCTCTAAAAAGTGAAAATCTAAAAAAATAACGGTTATTTTTCAACATTATCGATATGTTTAATAGAAATGTAGTCCTTTATGTCATCTGAAAGGCTACATTGAGCTCATCTAAATTTTGATACGCCTTTGCTATATTTTTTAAATTTATTGCAATTTGTCATATAAAATAATTCTAATAAAGCAGCGGTTTTCATACAAGCCTAATATTTTCATGCCAATGTACTCCTCATACAATGCCTGCCAAATGTTTTGGAATACTAACGTCAGTTTGCAAGGGTCAGAGTCAGTCACTTGCCTCTCCCCTACGGAACAATGTTGGTTTACTATAAGGTGGTTTAGAGGATCAGGAGGAACCATTGTGCGATTTTTACGATATTTGTCTAAATTATGAACATTGTTCTAGGGGTAGGGGTCTGAAGTAGTAATTCTTTTTCGGGAAAGGAATGAATGATATAAAGTGCCACGCAAATTGCTGGGCGCTCCAAATACTTTCGGCAGGCAGTGCAGCTTCTTCCGTTCTCACCGCCCTGTTGTTCTTCAATCTGTTCATAATTATTTTTTTCAGTACCCCACGCTAAGATTCAGCTTTTTGTTTTTGTCTTGTTCTTCCTTTGATCTTATATTTTGATAATATAAAGGCTCTTGCTTATATGAACTTTTTCTCATAGAAAATTAGTGATTTTAGATACATGGCTTATTCTCGAAGCAGAAGCAGCACTACATCTGCTTCTAGCCACGTGTGCTGCTAACCAAAACAACTGACACTCTTACCTGCTATATTGATGTATAATTTTTATAGTTTTGCAAAATGACAACAATATTTACAATTTGTTGAAGAATGGTGTAATCAGTGTTGTTTATGAAAGCCGAAAAAACAAAATCAACTGAAGACGAATCCTATCTATAAAATACCTGTTAATCTTATTTGCATACTCAATTTGGACAGGAGAGCAAATGGGGTTGCCCGTTTTTACAGTTATGTATTAAGTAACTTATCATATGCAAATAACCATCACCGCACTACAGACATGTTTACTTTCTAACCAAAATAAGATCATAAAAAGCCAGTGCTATCAAAAAAATCAGATAACCAGGTGTCAGTGAATGATCGCTTTGGTTATTTACCTATGAAAGAGTGCGCGTATTTTTGATGAAAAAGAGCCACCTGTACTAGACAGAGGCGAATGTAAGTCGCTTAATCGAAAAGGAGGTCAGCCTAAGAAAAATGTAGAGCTGCCTGTTTTCTTGGCGTGTCATTAAAATACAGTGGAATCCCGATATAATGAACCCTGGATATAACGAACTTCCCGGTATAACGAAACCCTGGATATAGCGAACTCTCGTTAATGCGAACAAAATTGTAGGTCCCTTCATCATAACCACCCTCGATATAACGAACTTTTCATAAATTTTTCATCTTTTATCTTTATTTGATTTTTCCGGTGTTCATTTATCACTTTATCTTGTGGAAATCATTTTGTAATCGGCAAAGCATGCTGGTAGACTCAGGGCACGAATTGAAAATTTGATTTCGTCAGAAATATCTGCAAATGAGAACATTGACACTAACGAATACCTCCATATACATATGAGACATTGATAATGAATGACGACGAAGTTTGTTGAGAGACCTAGAAGTGGAGAGGGGGCCTCCGCGCCAAGTTATTCCAAGAATAGCGACATCAGGTTTTGTGATTTTCACTTTACTCTGATTGATGCCCGTTTTTACACATGGAATACAGCCATTCTTTAGTTGAGGTTAATGCTACAAGTGCGTGGTATTTTTAAAGTGGATAACCAATAAAGAACATCTAGAAATAATTGAATTTCTTGTTAGATGGACGTCAGCAGTTTCCGCAGCAGCAAAAGAGGAAGAAGACCAAACGACATTTCTAATGGGCACAAAACTGAACACCACCCCAGAAAAAGTAGCACATAGTTTGCATGTTCCATCTTCACGTAATGTAGAAGCAGTTGAAAGTAAAATAATTCAAATTTTTCTTAATTTGGTATCAGCTTGAAGTTACAACTACTTTCAATTTTCAATTTCATTGATATAAACACTGGAAACAACCCGACACATTTGCATCCAAACATTCAAAAATAATACATGAGTCTCTTTATAGATCAAAATCGCCTAACTTTATCTATGTACTGCGAGCTTCTCTTGATTTCAAATAATATTTTCGGTCCTCCGTAGGAGTTTATCTCCTTATGTCGATCTTTCCCGCATTTAGGTTGTAAAACAGGGCAATAAAGATAGTTGGTAGGGAATGTTCTCAGAAAGCAAGTAGCAAAAAATGCCGATAAAAATAAGTTTTGCGAAATAGTCCTTTCTGGAAAAATGCGAAATCATTTGAAAAATGACAAATGCATGACTAGCACAGAGACTTTTTTCATATAATATCCAATAATAATTTACAATACATATTACTGTCTACACTACTAACAAGAACTACTTTAAAATACTATTGGGACGAAAACCCCGGGGGAGCAAAAGGCTGTATCTACCCCAAGGGCCTTAACATATATATATATATATACACATAAATGTTAGAATAGGAAATACAAATATGTAACAGATACAACAAATGGTTACGTGGTGTGCATTTTAGATTGAAACGACCTTATTCAAACCGACTAGTATTGCAGATGAATTGTATAGTCAAGTTTAGAATGTTTCTATTGACGCCATAAGGGAAAGTTGCATTGTCATATGGTAAAAACTGAGTTAGAGCCTTATTTGACAGGTTTGTAGTATAGGTCCAAGAGGTCGTAATATATCAAAGACTCCCGCAAGAAGATCAAGAAGATCAAGAAGCACATGGGGTTTAAAGTATCCCTAAAATTAAATTTGAATTTCTGACAGTTTAATTTCCTTAGATCAATCCTAAGTTGAGTAAGAGGGGATAAACCTATTGGGTCATGAATTCCGAAGACAGGCTTTGCAGGGGGACGGATAATTGACCAAATTTGTTCCTTGAAAATAGCGACAGATGGTACAAGTCTAAGCTCTGATTCAATATTGTTCGGATAAACATTGAGGATAAAAACTACCTAGATTTGAATTTTTCTGTTCTCGCCATTATTTGCCTTACGACGTCGTGACCGCGAAGAAAGTAATGTGACTGATGAAGCTGAGGGATTGGATCCATCCAATAACTGGGGGGGGGGGGATTATTTACAATCTTGTAAAACAAAACAAGACGTCTGCTCCACCTACGGGAACTTAATTATTCCCAGCCGAGCTCCGCATACAATTTTTGTCGCGAAGTTCCCTTCCATGCACCAGTTATAGCCAGAGCAGCAGAATACTGAACAGGCTCTATCCTTTCCATAAGACTTGGTATAAAAGTATTTTGACTGAATTGGCACATTGTAGCCGGGATATGGTATATTACATCCCCATAGTCCAGTAAAGAGACTTCTTGGTGGGATACCTAGAACGCTCTTTCGACTGTGTTAAAAACAATGAAAAACTACTTACTGTATTGAAAGAAACAACATCTAAAACAATGGAACATCGTGGCCATGATTTGGGCGGGGTAGAAAAGGCTGTTTATCAATGGTTTTTCTTATCAAAAAGACAATATGTACCCGCTCGATGGATCGATGCTTGCTTAAAGGATAGCATTTATTAAGCCAGGGAAACCCAGTTTCATGTATTCAAAGCATGGAGGTAGAAGGAGAATTGATAAAACCTATAACGTGGCGCCTGAGTGGCCATCGAGATCGACGGTGAAAAACGCTGCACTCTACAGCAATAGAGAAGAAGTCATGCACAATGTCGTTCTCCAAACAAGTATTGGCCATAATCTTTTGTAAACTGCCTTAATACCCATAACCATAACTAAAACTTGCTGTCTCCTTTCGATCTAAAATGTACTCTTCAGTTTGTTGTCCTGTTTTCCTTGTTTTTGAAAATTTTATATTATCTTCAACTCTGTCTTCAACTTCATTTTGATTCTTCAATTGAACTTCAATTCAATTGAAGAAATTTACCGGTCCCTTGCAAGTTCGAGAAAGAAAAAGTTTACATGATTGTAGGATAAAGAAGCTCTTTAAACTTTTCAATCGTGACTCATGCAAAATCACGAAAAGTATGACAGCAAAGAAATTGAAATATGAAGGACAACCAAGCTAATGTCAATAAATTGTTATTAAAATACCTCCAATATTTTAAAGCTAAAATGCAAACTTTCTCACCGTTTTTCTGCGATAACGAAAAGTCAACAAAGAACTCTAAGATTGTGAAAATCTCGTGAATTACCCTCAAGCATGTGAAATTTTCTCTTTAATCAAAAATACGTTCATTCAAATAAACTTTTGCTTTTTCAAAGCATACAGAATAAGCTATTAATTAATCATTCGAAAAAGCTGTTCAGAAGTGATCTCATTCACATCGTTTTTTGCTTTGATTTTACCCATCCTTTTTAGATGAATAGTCCGCCCTAAAGCTATTATTAATCAAAAACATAACCTGTGCTTGGATTATTTAAATGCATGAAATTTCTATCCGTACACAAAAGGATTGTTTGTCTACCGAAGTGTACATTCGTGACCATTTTTTTAAATCATTGTTGTCTTATTTTAGAACTGAGGGTAGCAAGAGAAGTAAAGTGTACTTGGAGAGCTTCTTTACCGTTGTTGTGTCACGATTTCGCTGTTATCAATTTGAATTTTGCTTATTTGATATGACCAAATCGAGTTATTTGGGAAAACGGCATAATCGTGGGGAAGTTCCATCTGGTGATAACGAAATCAGTGTTACTTGCAATTAAAGACTTGCCGATTGCCTAAAAGCCATTCAATACTGATAAACTGCAATGTGAGAAAGCAAGATTTCTCTCACAAACATGAACGGATCAACAGTTTATGAACCAATCAACAAGCACTGGACTGATTTCCAGACGGGTATTTCAGTGTTCGTGTTACTATCGATTGATGGCGGTGCAATTTTGCTGAATCTTCTTGTCACGTTGATCGTTCTAATTGAGCCATCGCTGAGGGAGAAAGTCGACTGCATGCTGATCTGCAACCTCGCCTTGTCCGACCAACTGGTAGCCATAACAACCGTTCCATTTACCATCCATGTATTGCTTCACAAGGAGCATCCTCTAACAGAATCTTATTCTACCTTTGTGGGGTTTGCAAATTTTACTTTCTGCATTGCATCTATTATGACGTTGATGCTCTTAGTGGTGGACCAGATGTGTCTCATCAAGTGGCCATTACGTTATCAGCAATTCCGCACTCCCAAAGCTGCAATTTTTGCAAACCTGCTCGTTTGGATACACAGCATAGCTTGTGCTTTGCCACCGATGTTCGGTCTTAGCTCGTACAATTGCTTTATACCGAATATTGGGCCCTGTTACCAACAAAATTGGGCTGGCACTAACGATTCTCTTACGTTTGCTGTCATAGTGATCACGGCAAGTTGGGGCTTTGCCCTTGTTGTTACCGTACTGTGTTACCATCAGATAGTTACCATTGTCCTTTTTCAAAATAAAAAGACGGTCCCAGCAATACGAAATATAACGCCTACGAGAGACGGTCCCGACAATGAAAATGAAAAAGGGCATCAACTGGATACCAAGAGTAATGTTCTGCTTCATTCACGAGCCTCGACTTCAAATTCAGAACCTATTCATTCAAAGGTGTTAGTTGATCAAACCGAGGATCGCAGGAAGCCTCTTTTTAACGTTGAAGGACAGGTTGCTATGCCCACATCAGAAGTTAGTCCTACCTCAAATGACACGTCATCTTTAGGTGTAAGAAGAACCAAGAAAAAACAAAAGATTTCAAGAAGGCAAAAATACTGGCGACCAGCCAAAACATTGCTATTGATTATTTGCATTTACTTCCTTACATGGTCTCCCTTCTGCTTGCTTCTTTTAATCGAGATTGCCTGCAAGAAAAAACTTTATCCATTATTTAGCCTGGTTTTTCTGTGGATAGGATACTCCAGCAGTTTGCTAAACCCGTTACTCTATTTTCTAAGATACAAGAAGTTTCAAAGAGTTGTTATTAAGCACGCTAGAAGATTCAAGGAGCAGTTGACTGGCTTATTTGGGTGTTTAGAAGATTCTTCTGTCTAGCAGTTGCATTCCATGAATAATCCAGCCAGATCGTGACGTTACAGAAAGGTGTTAGAAAGGCAGAATTTGATTCTAAAAAGGCAGAGTTTGATTGCAGCAGTTATATTTAATTTGTTTTGACTGGTCTACCTTCTTTCTTTTTTACTCTGGTCATTAGTTTTTAATTTGATGCGTGGAAATGTTGAAAGTTCATCGCTGGGTGACTGTCTCGACGACTATTGATGAGGCCAGTCCATAATTTTCAAGAACCAAAGAACGTAAAAGAAATTCAATTAAGGCGTTAAAATTCGATCCAGCCTTATTTCGATATTATACCGTTAGGCATAAAATTATGCAAATAACACCTTTAAATTTGTTTTCATACGAAAAAACCACGCATACCAAATGATTCATACTATGTCCGTATTTTCACCCCTGCTCCAAAGGCCACCATCTGATTAGTATTGTCTACGCAGGGCCCGCGCTTCAGGGTGCCAGGGGAGGCCATGGCCCCCCATTTTTCTTGCTAACTATAAGTATTAAATCCCTTTTTTAAGTATTAAATAGGTAGCCCCCTTTTTGCCCCCCCTACTTTAGAATCGGTGGCGTGGGCCTTGCTACGTATCAATGTCGGCTGCAACCAAGAAGAATTAGTTTAAGTGCAGATAATGAATAAATAAAATAGATTTTCATAAACCAGGATTCCTTGTACCACTTTTTCTCACATTTATAATAACGGATTTTGAAGTTGCTGTGGGTAACATTTCCTAACGAAGATTTTACCTCTAGTCTTTTGTATTATCGCCAATTTGAACTATTTACTGGTGATGGATTTTCGTCCCAACTTGATAAAATTTTTACTTTAATTCTGTAAAGTTAATAAATGTACCTTAATTCTCCTTTTGCATTCTTCTTTTGTTTTGTGCATTTTTGTATCAATCTAGTATCTTTTTATGATAGTCTAGCTGTACTTTTTTGTAACTTAGCTACTCAAGTTTCCCTCGATTGATTTTCTACTAACTTTGTTATATTTTGTTTTAAGGGATTAACCGTTACTCCCCTATTTCTTACTTTAACAGAACAACGCTCGTTTTGTACATATAAGTAATGCCTACTTTCTTTTCTTAGCCATTTTCTCAAGCTCAAGCCACTATCGTTAGTTTTATTCCCACCTTCATTTGCCGCATTTATTCGAATATTAAGCCTCGGCTTATGATTATTATCCTGCACGATTTGCTGCTGTTTATAATCAAGGGCGGCTTATAAACGAGGGCGGCTTATAAACGAGGGCGGCTTATAAACGAGGGCGCCTTACATTGTTTTACCCAAGTCTTGCCAAGCTTTCCTGCTACCTAGGAAATGAGGGGGATAATGTAGAAGGTGAGGAAGAAATACACCTGGACGATATTTGTGATCTGTCATCTTGACGATTTGAACAATTTATTTTGTTCATGTGCAAAATCAGATTTTTATCAATTTTTGATCTGTGATCTTAAGTCAAGTATCTCTGCATGGTTTAGTTGGTGCAGCTTAAAATCAAGGGCGGTACAAGGACCCCGTTTTTTAAGAGCCTGATTTACTGCGGCTTATAAACGAGGGAGGCTTCAAAACATTGATGGCTTTATGATCGAATAAATACTGCATATGAGCAACTTGCCATTTAAGTCCAGTAGGCATTGTTACTTATTTCTTTGAAAAATTCGAGGTATACAAAAAGAAATGTTTTCAAAACAAGTTGATATTTTATGAATTTCAAAGGGAGGAATAGAATTAAGTCATTGAAGGCTCTTGTGCAACCTAATGCTTTGCGACTTTATATCCAAAACGGGCCTAAAATTGTTCTGTATGAAAATACCAAGGATTTCTGTATGCCAATATACCAAATATTTCTGTCTATTTCTTCTCACATTAGAAAACCCCTAAAGCAAAATATTCTGGTTGCGCAAGAGCTACTTTGTACAGGATAGTAAAGAAACATATGTAGAAATTAATTTATTGAAAGATCAGAAAAGAACTGTTGTATATCCTTGATAATGAATGTATTAATTACCAACTTTGTGTTTATAGATGATGCAATCATAAAAGCAATTAGAAAGGTGACACTTCAGGAGACTTGTTTCAATAATGAGAGTTCTCAATCTTCCTCCGGCCATGCGTATCTTACTATAAAACCTTCCTTATTTTTAATATAGATTAAATGGGCATAGTATGGAATTACGGGGTACTCAACTAGTTTTAGCCACTTTTCTTGCAGCTCTGTTTATCCACAACATTTTTAAAAATTGTAGTTCGTTTTCAATTATAGATACTTTTGGAACAGATAAAAGTAACATCCCTATGCCAGTTGATAACAAATGTATGTCATAATTTGAATATAAAATTATAAAAAGTTTGCGCCTAAACTTTACAGCGTGAAGCAGTTCTGTAACTAATTTAATATCAACAAACACGAAGTTTATAAATGTTAATTATTTTTTTCATTTTTGCCTGACTACATTTTGAAAGCCCAAAGGCAATAGGATTTTTAATTTTTCTAAAGTCTCCAAATTTTCGGTCAAAATCCTCAACTTCCTTTTGTTTGTGCAACCTTTCTCCCGCCAGTGGCCGTGGGGCCGTGATGTTTTCCTGACTCTATCAATAATATAACTGAATTGCTACAGCTGGTGGGTGGAATCAACTATTCGAAATGAACTAAAACCTCCCCAAGTAGGAGAGTTGTAGTTTATTGGGAAAGATAATAGCATTTAAGCAAGGGGTTACAAAGTTTGAACACTGCCTACTCAGAATCGAGGATCGCTACGTTAAAGAAATTTCCATGGTTGAGATTTTATCTGAATACCTTTTGTTACAAAAATTATTTATCTAAAAAACTAGGAACCTAGCTAAGAAAAAAATCCATAGATCATATTTATTCTGAAAAACTGATGAGATACTGTTTTTGAGCATTAAAATAATGCAGGTAAAGATGCATTTGCAATACCGTCGTGGAGCATTTTAATTAGCTGGAGATTTTGAAGAACCTTAATAGTACTGGTGTTTATAAAATTATTTTCATACTCAGAAATGATTTTCCTGATGCAGCCAGATAGTTTTCATCAAAGTTTATAAATTGTAATGCTGATAAAGGATATATCACAATGTTTTTATACTTTAGACATAACAGAGGCCGATCAGTGACAGCTGAGCTAAAATGCATCACAGATGGCAGTAAACAGTGTCGACAAAGATTTTTACTCTATCTCTAAACTTAATCTTTTAAATTTTAATAAACATCCTCGGAAAATCAATTTTTGATGATAAATGCTGCCTAATCATTAACAAAGCGCAAATATTCTATGATTATCGATTGGAATAAAAAAGTTTTTCTTGCATTGCTTAAATTTTCTTAATAGGAGACACATTTTAAAGCAAGAAAAAATGGAGTCTGTTGTCTTAAAAATGGCGGTATAGGTTCAAAACACATTATGTGCAAGAGCCCCCTTGTTATTTTGAAATCACTACACCACTGGTAGGGCCACATAGTCATGTTTGAAGCAACGCAAAATTATAATGTCGACGTTTGGTTTATGGTATTTACGATACGATAAAAAAATCTTCTGGGAATCGAGAAGTTTCCGCATGCCTCATATCAGTTATTTTCCCCCAAAGGAGATTAAAATCATTCTCTTGGTTTGCCCTTCTGTGAATGCAGTGTGTCACATGTAACAGATCAACGCTATTCATGTGTGACTTGACAGCAAGTATTTTGTAGTTGCCGCAATTTCTCTATTTAAACTTCACCGGATTGCCAGTAAACAATGCCATGGGCAAGTGAAATGATGAATTAGCTACTATGGTGTGGTTACCTTGTATAGTTTGTTAGCTGCACATCAAAAACGTGATTATTTTGCTGTCATTGATTTTACTATGATGAGATTTGAGATTCGCTAGATGAATACCAGGCAATAGTTTACGATTGTAAGAGACAAAGAAGTAGTCACAGAATGTCACAACAATGCTTCGTGGAAAGGAAAACGTGACACTGGTAAGAATTTTCTTATTTGTAAATTGCAATATTCAAATTGTAGTGAAACAGAGACTCAAAGTGAAGTACCGGGCGATCATATGTTATGCGTAATTTTAACACGTTCAGATAAAATTTCAAGCAAACATCGAAGAGCCTCCAGAAAAAATTCCTGCCTTTGTTATTTGTTGTAATCAAGTAGCGTTGATAACTCTTTTTCACCTTTCTCTACATCTATCGCCTTTTCTTAGATTTGATGATTTCTGTAGCATCTTTGTTGTTCAGCACAGTCGTTTCCTGTGGCTTGATAATTGACTTGATACCTTTAAACAGGGAGAAATTGCATATCGGATTGGGAAACCGAATCCGATATCAAATGAAAACGGTATCGTGTAAACGGGGACTTTATCAATTAGTTACTTGATTTTGGTGATAGAATACAAAATAAATGTTCATGCCATTTATTTTGATTCATATTCTATGTTTGTAAAATGCATTGTACTTCCATATGTATAGCTCTTTTCATAAATTTGAATACAGTAGAATTTTAAAAATGAGAATGAAACGTTGCTTTGCTTTGCTTTGCTTTGCTTTGCTTTGCTTTGCTTTGCTTTGCTTTGCTTTGCTTTGCTTTGCTTTGCTTTGCTTTGCTTTGCTTTGCTTTGCTTTGCTTTGCTTTGCTTTGCTTTGCTTTGCTTTGCTTTGCTTTTGCTTTGCTTTGCTTTGCTTTGCTTTTTGCTTTGCTTTGCTTTGCTTTGCTTTGCTTTGCTTTGCTTTGCTTTGCTTTGCTTTGCTTGCTTTGCTTGCTTTGCTTTGCTTTGCTTTGCTTTGCTTTGCTTTGCTTTGCTTTGCTTTGCTTTGCTTTGCTTTGCTTTGCTTTGCTTTGCTTTGCTTTGCTTTGCTTTGCTTTGCTTTGCTTGCTTTGCTTTGCTTTGCTTTGCTTTGCTTTGCTTTGCTTTGCTTTGCTTGCTTTGCTTTGCTTTGCTTTGCTTTGCTTTGCTTTGCTTTGCTTTGCTTTGCTTTGCTTTGCTTTGCTTTGCTTTGCTTTGCTTTGCTTTGCTTTGCTTTGCTTTGCTTTGCTTTGCTTTAAATATAATGTTACAATAAAAGAAGCATAAATACAAGAGGTTGAAGATCTCTTTAGGGTTGAAGAAAATCTTCCATGATATAATGCTCAAAACTTTAATCTTGCGGTGACACGAAAATCTTGAAAGGAACAAACGGTGTCATAAGATATTGAATTGAGATCATCTTGTTTAAATGTTATTGCTGCCCAGCCACGCTTAATGGTTTGAGTTTAGTTTATTTACTTACACAAAATTGCGGAGAAAGTTTTATTGTATCTCAAATAATATTCACCAATACAGCTACCCTAAAATCTATGTGCCCTTATAAGTGACATCTGTTGTGTCACGTCAGAAAACAGCTTTGCTGCTTTCCACGCTATCGTTTTGCGCAATCACTAACATCTTGTCATTTTTACGAGCTTCCTTAGGCCTAATTACACTTTGTCTCTGAAACACAGGTGAAATAGAATCTCAAAGCAAAATACAGTACTCGATTTGCATCAAAAATTTTTCATCCACTCCCCAAATTTTTACTAGCTCCGTCCCTTTTAATAAGTGCAAGGCCCACACAAACGACTTTCAATAGATTAAGTCCCAAAACTGCAGTTTCGCTAAATTAAATTCCACCTAGAGGCACTTAGGCTAGCTTGCAACCACGTTGTATTTCCGTGTCAACAAGGATTCTGCATATAGAATTGACACGAAATACATATGTTGTGTAGATTGAAAGACCACAAGATTTAAAAATAATAGCATTTGATTGCTTTTCGTACTTTTCTACTATACCCAAGTGATTGAAAATATGTGCACATTTCAACGCTGTAAAATTCATTCCCACATTATTTTGTATTTAGTCACAAAAAGTCTAGAAAGATAAGTCGACTTGTCGTTCAATAGCAAATTTTATGCAGGTTGCCTATAATATGCTATGCTGACTTCAGTTGTTCCTTTATTTATTTAAAAATGTTTAAATCAAGCTACCCTTACTTTCGTTGGTTTAGACCAAGCTACACCCCTACAAAGCGGTTTGAGCCAAGCTACACCCATTCGAACCAGTTGGGACGAGCTTTTGAACCAAGCAACATCGATTTGAACAATTTTATATATGTTTGAAGTGTACCAAAAAATGCTTAACTCCAGGGCCGTCAATAGAGATCTCAAGCTAAGTGGGTGCAGGCTCTCAATTTGCCTACGGGAGGGCGTGGCTTATGGGCATGGCCTTTTATTGTCCTGCGTTTTTCTTGTTGAGAGAATCAATTCCCGTGATTGAACTTCTCGTAACCATTGATGAGGGTATTTAACACCAAATTCAATTTTATTCCTGTATGAGGAAATCTCAAGTTTTTAACCTTAGTCAGCTGACTGTGTACTGACACAAGAAAGCTTCAGTGCAATCAAACGCTTTATTCCAAGCTTTATGTGGGTAACCAGTGCTTTGACGTATACAAAGAAATTTATCTTATCTATCAAAGTCATCCTGTAGGCGAAAATCTCACGCCAGAAAGCAACCTCCATGCAGCACCCAAGTAGGAACCTCCAGAAAGCAACCTCCATGCATGCATCAAACTCATTAGATCAAGTAGGAAGAATGCTTGGTAAAGGAATATACCACCCAAGAATCGAAACATCGATCAACATTCTATATAAAAACAGACCACAGTGTCATTATAAGCAATTTGCTTCAGTTGCCCACTAATCAGAGGCGGACTGGTCTGTCAGGTGATCGCCCGGCAGGCCCTCCAAAAATTATTAAAATGTTTCTTAACTTTTCTATTGAATGGCAACTCGTATTGTTTGGTAAGGCCCTCTTCCCTTTTTTTATTTTCTATTCTCTTCATTTAATGTTGGCTTACACAACAATAGCTAATAAACAGCTAATTAACACCATCTTGCCATTTCAATGAGTCTCTTTCGAGATTAGAGGATACAGAATGAATAGAAATATCTCTTTGAGGTATTTAAGTACTGAAACATTTTCTAAAATTTGGGGCCTCGTGTAGGAACGCTGATTCTAACTCTCCACTTTCGTATTGCTTTTCTTCACCTTTTCAATCTCTTTCCTCATTGTTAGACTCAATTCCTATTCTGGAGAAAGTTTATTATAAAACCAAATCCAACTTCTTTCCTATCGTCATGTAGCCTTTTCTAGATGCTCGTTTGAGAAGGAAATATTCGCAGAACTTTTTAAGACGTTGGTTGTTTTGTTGTCCTTCACGCCTTTTGTTGTTGTATTTCCTTCTTCTACAATTTTTACCCAGTTTTATTCCAATCCAGATTATCCTAGAATCAGCTGCTGTGATTCTGACTCTCCACCTTTGTATTGCCTTTCCACTTTTTTAATCTCCTTCCTCATTGTTAGACACTTCAAAATGAAGTCAATTTGAACCATTGTAAAAGAAAGTTAACTGGTATTGCTTAGGATCATCCTTTGGTCAAGCTTCTAAATATATTAAATGCATTATCTAGCCATTTCTATAACGTCATATTTTCAAATTTTGTTTTGGATTCGGTCAAAATT